GATAGCCTTTTGTGTAGCTTTGCGCTTAACAATAATTGCATTTTCATTTGTATGACTGATTGAGAATTTTTACTTGCAAATAAAAAAACCAGTTTTATCTACCATAACACTTCATTTTTGATCAAAATATATTCAGTGGTTCAAGAAAAAATAACAACAACGAAAGAAAATGAGACATGATTCTTTAGAGGCACGTCTGCGATTAGTCGAGTTTTTATCGTTACTTACCCGAGAAGTACCCGTATCCAGAGTTAGGGCCAACCATCATCTCGGGACTATCATCAAGTCCGTCGGGAGACATTCCCGGCCGCAACGGCCGCATGGCCCGCCTGGGGTTTCTAAAGAAGTGACGGCGAGCTCCAAGTGTACTGAGTTGTTTCATACGTCTCTCTTTCGACCTGCGGTTCTGGAACCACACCTGTTATATTAGGGACAAAATAATGTGATGAAACAACAATTACTTCTTTGTGTTTTTCGTTGAAACGTTACATAAATGTGATATAAAGATGTTTATGGCAACACCTTCTTAACCGTAACACAGATTTAAATAACATTTCCTTAAAAGAAAACTGAGTGTAATAGATAATGCTATGATAATCCTGGCATTTGTCGTGAGATTTTCTGTGCCATTTATCTTGGACAGGACTGAAGTAATTTTTTCAAGATAGCAGTAACTATTAGAAAAAAAGTTTTATCAAGTTTCCTTAGTCTAAAGAATTTGTGAAAAAAACAAAAATATATTCAATTTCTATGTCTAAAAAGAGTGAAAGGCTTAGTTTGGCCAAAGGATCACTATTGAGTGTAGAGACGTTTCGCCACGAGGGTAAAAATTACCAATACTTTTACAAATTATGCAGCACCAGCTACTACTGAACATCTTAAAATTAATTGCAAGCCATTCATTAATTGTTACTTAAACATTTACAAGTATTTTGGATACTTAATAAATATATATATAATGATTGTACGTAAAGGAAATTGTTCAACACACGGCAGAAAGACAGAAAGTCTTTAAAAACTCAATTCACGATATGTAATACTTAGCTAAAGCAGAACATAAATTCTTTAAAAACTCAATACAGTCCTCATCAGTTCACCTACAGTGACGATGTTGAATATTTAACCAAATCAAAAGTACATAAAATCTTTAAAACCCAATACAGTCCTCATCAGTTCACCTAAAGTGACGATATTGAATATTTAACCAAAACAAAAGGACATAAAGTCTTTAAAAACTCAATACAGTCCTCATCAGTTCACCTACAGTGACGATGTTGAATATTTAACCAAATCAAAATACATAAAGTCTTTAAAAACCCAATACAGTCCTCATCAGTTTACCTACAGTGACGAAGTTGAATATTTAACCAAAACAAAAGGACATAAAGTCTTTAAAAACTCAATACAGTCCTCATCAGTTCACCTACAGTGACGATGTTGAATATTTAACCAAAACAAAAGGACATAAAGTCTTTAAAAACTCAATA